CTCTGAGCCTGGGTTGTTTCTTGATGGTCTGGCTTTTTTTTTTTTTTTGCCACAGGGCACGTGCGCTTGCCTGAAAGATAGAGAGAGACAGAAAGCGAGAAATCACCCCCAAGGGGAGATGGCCACACCACAGTCCTTTCTCCTCCATTCTCCTCTTGGGATCTTGGGCACGCACGCACGCACATGTGCCTGGGTTCAGGACTCGAACTGCAACCAACTACGTGGGAATCCAGCGACTTAGCCATTACGCCAACTGTTGGTCCCCCTGTTAGTATTTCTCTAGCAAAAGTGTTCAGAAGTAAGCTGGTGGCTCATGGGGTGGGTGGAGGTTTCATCCTGAGAGAAAACACAGCAGAATCCTTGATACCTAACAGGGGTGTAAGAGAAACTTGTCTAGAGGAGCTGACTCCTTCTTTTTTGGCAGGATGCATGGTACAGGGTGTAGAAGAAACATCTCAGAAGGCAGCGAATCTTGTTCCAGACTTCCCCTGCCACTGACCAGCTTTGTGGTATTGGACCCTCTTTCATGTCTCTGGGCCCCAGCTTCCTTACTTGTAAAATGAGGGGATTGAGCCAAATGTTCTCCCTCTAAAGCTCCTTTGGTCATTATATAAGGCTCGTACCTGAGGGGTGCCCAGCCGCTCTATCAGAGGGACCAGGTGTAGTGGGGCATACTTGGCTTCAAGGCGCTTCATCCGGACCTCCAGGCGCTCCCCCTCTGCAAAGGAGCAGCAGAGCAGGCAGTGAGGTTCAGGGTGCACTGGGCAATGGGGGAGCTTTTCTCTAAAGCTCTCAGAAGCCCTGGGTTGTCTGTGTTCCAAACCTTGGGCGGAGGGTGTGGGACTATTCTCCTTGGTTTTAGAAAGTGCGATTAGGACTCACCAGAGGGAAAAATGTTCTGTGTTCGATCCAACGGTACAATCATCCACCTTGTAAAGTGGTGAGTTCCCCATCATTTGAGGAATTGAAACCAAGGCTAGATAGCAACAAATCGGGACTATTCTATAACCTTCTCCTTTACTGGCTGCAGATCTGAGTTGATTGGGAAGAAGAAATGAGCATAATGTTCAAATACAAGTGGAGTGTTCGGCTGCTGTCAGTGGTTTCTTACCTTTGATGTAGACTCTAGGCAGGATATTTTGGAAGGGTGCAGCGTGTAGCAAATCACAGACTTCTTCCTGAGACTAGAGAGACAGAGTGGGGAAAAAGGGAAAAAATTTATTTTAAACCAAGAGGAATTTTCACTCTTAGAAACTTGAGCAGTAGAGTCAGCCAGACCTGGGTTCAAAACCTGGCTCCTCTACTTATTAGCTGTGACTTGGACAAGTTACCTGACCTCTCTAATTCTGTATTTTTTTTTTTACAAAATAAGGATAAAAACAGTACCTATTTTATAGTTGTTATAAGAATTAACTGAGACAATGCATACATAGCATGGTCCTAGGTACATAATGAAAGCGCAGTATGTTTTTATTATAATCTTTTAAGAAATTTGTTGAAGAATTAGAATGAAAGAGGGATCGAACAGAGATGATGGGCTTTAGACTGTGTGGCTGGTTACACGACCTGTAGGCCCAAAGCAGGGCTTGAGCCAATCCTCCATCCAGTGCATTAATCCAGGATGATTGTGTGTGGAGACCTGTGACTGGTTTTCTCCACATCGGATGCCAACTAGCAAGAGAAGGAGGGATTGGAACCCAGGCCCTGACATTTTTTTTTTTTCTTTTTTGGAGAGGTTTTTACTATAGGGCGCGTGCGCTTGCCAGACAGACAGAGACAGAGAGAAAGAAAGCGAAAAATCACCCCCCCCAGGGGGTATGGCCACACCACAATCCCTTCTCCTTCGTACTCCTCTCAGGATCTTGGGCACGCATGCACACGCGCCTGGCGTGAGTTTAAGCCACCGGGTCCAGGACTCGAACTATGGTCGACTACATGGGAGTCCAGTGACATAGCCATTACGCTAACTGCTGGTCCCTACATTTTGATGGTGACTTGTTATGCATAAAAGTAAGCTTAAGAGCAATATACACAACAATGGTTGTGGAGAAGAGTTTAG